CTTCATTTTCCAGATTGTTTGTAAATGACTGCATAGAGTGCCATTTTCTAAAACAAACATGACTTGTCACCATAACTTAAAATAGAAGATGCCTATTCTTCCAGAAAACCTTGTCTTATTCTCCTTGTACTTTTTCTGGGAATCTTCAAGTAGATATTGACTTTGTTCCAATTTTTCATGTTTATATATTCTTTGTTCTCTAAAACTTGTCACAAGTATATTTTATTCCTCTTGTATTATCATTTTTTTTAGCATCCTTACAGTGACCTTGAACCTTGAAATTTACAAGATGTGAATATCTTTTAGGTTGTGAAATTTGATAGAGAAACGAGGGTAATACAATGGAAAAACACCCCCATGCAACTATCCGTTTTTTGACTGTGACCTTGATCTTTGATCTGACTTGGTCATCTTCTAAAGAAACCGACTTCTCCTCACAAGGGATACATGTTCCAAATATTGATTAAGGTATACTAACTGTCTTGGTCTCAATGCGTTTACAAGGTAATCATATAGTACTTATGCAAGTACTGTGACCTCTACATTCAATCCTCAAAATCATTACTATATCCTCTCCACATTGCCCAGGGATAACTGAAACTGTAATCCAAATAAGGCTACATTCCCATCACCCACAGCCTTAGTCATCTCCCCATGGTGACCTTTTGCAAAAAAACATCCTCTTAACACAGCGGCATGTGCACATGTTCCCTACATTTCTTTAGTTTTGTTGAAATTGGTCCACAGGTTTAGAAGTTGACCGACATGCAAAACCTGTCTATATTGACCAGATGCCATGGCAATCAATATTTCCAGGGGAAAATGGTGCATGCACATCTACACATTGTCCCGAATATTACTGTAGTTTCATTGGAGTTGTCTAGACAAGATGTGTCACACAGACAATAGAAACAGATGGATGGACAGATAGACAACTTGATTCGATTTACCCACCCTTTTGGTGGTATAAGAATGCACAAGAGTGCTTACAAATTCCATGTGGACAGACATCATGGAAAAATAATAATGATAATAATAAAAATAAAAACATGATAAAGATGCTTATATCTTGTTTTCTTTATTCAGTATTCTTCCATGCTTTGATCAGCAATGTAATCTTGTCATGTAAATATCCTAGTACAAGATTGCATACACAAAATTGTTGTAGGTAGACTTTTAAGATAAATAAAAAAAAATACATGTCTAAGTTTAAATGAAGGTTTTAAACAGAAGTCGTATTATGTTCAGTATACTGTGACCTTAAAAGGCAACATGGTTGTTAGCATATCCTCAAGTGATTAACCATCTTCAACATCTAATTGGAGGTCGGAAAGAAGGACGTTTTTCTCCACCATAAGGTCCTCAAATCCATTGTTGGTCACAATGGCCAATTCCAAGTTAGAAGAATCAAGAGATACCTTCTACCATTCCAGATTTCATTTCTTCAGGGACATCCACCTGCTGAAAGAGAGTAAGGGAAATAAATAACTATATTTCTTTATTGCTATGATTATGTGCAAGAAATATACACTTCTGTATAAGCTTATAGTCTTGAACTTCCCAATAGGAGTCTATATTAAATATAATTAATTATTTTGACATTCAGGACTGTCAAATTATGAAGTGATGGACAGCTAGAAAATAAGAATATCTTGACCATGGTCATACAGAGATTGAATCATAAAGTTAAATTCATGAGATAAATCTGTGCAGTATGATAATTTATTTTGACGTTTGTATTTCAAAAATCATTATGACTTGAAAGGTAATGTGTAATTTAATTAATTACATTGGACCGTCATGCAATGGCAATGCCATTTTCATAATGTAATTGTAATTTCATTAATTACGTCATCATGTAATTGAACCCATGCCTGTTACAAACAGTAGCTGTCCTAACTGATCCTAAAATTAAATTTGGCTATGTCTATCACAAAATTAATGTTGGCTGTCTATTACAAATGCCATATTTAGCTACAGTAGAGGTATTTCAAAAATGTATGTCATTGTAACTGAAAGGACACAATTAATGGTTACTTAACCAGAACTACAGTTCTGAACAAACCACTACAAAGCCTGGTTAACTGTACTAAGAAAATGTCTTCTCAATTAATCAATTTCATTGATTATTGACATCTTATTGTTGTACTTACAGTCACTTGAGTTTCTTAAAAGTTGCAATTTGACTTTTAATAAGGCCCAAAATGATAATACTGCAATGTCTTAATTAGCTCTCGAGGGGTATTGGTTAGACTATTTATCTCATTTCATTCCATTCACCATGAAAACAAAACTCTAAAAAACAGTCGACAATTAATGACAAATATTGAGCCTAGGGCTGGGTAAAATTGATGAATCAAAAGTGTTGAACTGAAAGTGGACGCAGTTGACATAATACTGAAATTTCTGAGATGAACAAATACAGTACATATATCAAAAAGTTCAATTGTACCAATAATACTTTACACATTCACACTGGGACTTTACACATTCACACTGGAACTTTACACATTCACACTGGGACCTAACACTTTGCTAGGTTTATCCTAATCTTTATTAAAATACTTTCCGGGAATCAGATGTTAATTGACATCTTCATTATTCCTAATCTTCATATTGTAATCGTTCACATGCATCACTCTTCAACAGAATCAACGAGACATCATGTCAGAAAGACAAAAACTAAAATTAAGCTAAAACTATATATATTAACTTCACATGTAAACCTTAAAATTAGCATAGCTGTAGAGTTCCCGTACGATTTCATACTCTGGCCTTGGGCCGTTGGGGTACTTATAAATTATCTCCGATCAGAAATTTGAAAGAGCTAGACCTACAATAGCGCGGACAGTGACAGATATTTTAAAGTAAAATCGATATATTACCCAGACAGATTCCTAGATCTATTCACGGTAGCGTAAGTAGTACAGTACAATATTACGGATAAGTTTTTTTTTCTGGTTAATTTCCGATCTGTTGGGCCACTGACAGAAGTGACTGCGATGAGACCATTATGAAACGATCATTCCAAAATAAATCCATTCCAAAATACTGAAATACTTTACGGAAGCAACAAAAATGTGCTAGATGCTTACATCACATTTTTCAAATGCATACTGCTTCAAGGGAAAAGTCTTGAAAATATTTTGAAAAAAAAGTGCAGCCTAAATTCACTTGACGCGAAGGCTCATTCCAAATGAATTGTTGCAAAAAATGCAATTGATAGTTCAGTATAAGTATTGACTTCAAATTCAGCTAACATATATATATATATATAGTGATACTTACCTACATGAATTACCCGCCATCTTCTTTCAGCCGCCGTCTTCTTTCAGGGTCCAGCAGCACAGAGCACCCCGGCTGTTTCCGTCAAAATTTTATGCTACTCTAAATCATTCTTATTTTAGTTTCATTTTTATTTTCAACTACATATATAAGTATTTTTAATAGTTATCAACAGTATTAAACTGGAAGTAAATTTTCGAAAAAAGAAAAATAGAAAGATATACAAATGTATATGACTCCCACAATGCATCGCGCGGAAAAGAAAGTTAAGCCGCCATATTGGCATCGCCTCGCAAAATTTACCACCATAAACGTGAGTCTTTGTCATTGTATTTACAAATTTCGATGTCTGATTATCATTAATACACAACACAAAACATTTTCTTGATGTACAGGTAATGAAGAAAATGTCGATAAGGTTGTTTCATTTAATGACTAGCATCAGCAACTTGTAGGGGCGATAATCCAATGATTACGGTAATGTCCGGCAGATGGAGTAGGAGTAAACTTTCGATTTATGAACCAATGAAAACGAAGTACTTGATACTCAGCCTCAGGGGCGATAGCAACATGCTGAAGAGCGTTGAAAATGCTCTTAGCATAAAAATTACACTTTCAAATAACATGTACATGTAAAAGTAAATATAAGTTAAAGTTGCCAATTCCTGTTGCACGCACATGATGGGAACAATAATATGAGAATGTACATGTGTATCTATTCAATTATTGAAAAAAGAATCACTGTGGAAAACTCACAAAAACAATTTAATAAATTACATGTATCAATCATGTCAGGGATTTTGAACTACATGTCTTGTTACCAGTACTGTTCAGGTTTTTCTTTTTCTATTCAATATAATTTTGATATGACATCATTTCACAAAAAAAAAAAAAAAAAAACAAAAACATTCTATTTTAACGCAAGATACAACGTACATATGTATCAAAAAAGCAGAGGTTGTATCAAGTAATCTCTCTTTATATGGTAGATACAGCAGTCTGAATCAAAGTGATGAAAGTGTGTCAACTGCTTCATATGATCCCAGAATCCGCAGTCAGAGGGACATTACTACTCAGGATCAGATAACATCTTTTGCACAATCCCTCAAAGAGGTATCATATAAAATCACAGTAGTAAAATGTTTTCCCTTGTTTTACTTCTCTCTAAGATGAAAAGCACAAGTAAGAATTCAAACATTTTGAAATGCTCAATTACTAAATTTGAACTGGTAAATATTCTTATAGACCTACAGTAAATGTAAAGCTGAACAAAAGTCCCTGATAATAACTGCTTATTGAACTCCAAGTTATGAAATCTATTGTTATCGATTCCATTCTTACTTTGGGTTGTCTGATTGTACTAAATTCTGTTGGTCCACAGATTTCTCCAAATGCTCAAGCATTGGACTTGCTTGTTTTGGATGACCCAGATGAAAAAAATGGTACATGTACAAAACTTGATGAAAAATGTATGAAACTTTCTATCAGGCAAAATGTGAAGCAATATCTTGATCAAGAAGTTAACACAGACAGTGTAACGTCTACACACCTTTGCAAGGGTTTCTTAGAACAAGAACCAGGTTGTTTAACATTGTCATCTGATCAGGTAGAATACATTGAACAGGCAACTATTGGTCAAGTCCAAAACAAAACGTGGAATGCTTTCCGTATTGGTTTGATTACTGCATCAAGTTTCAGAAAAGTTTGTGACACCATTGACAACAACAGAAATCCACCATCCTTACTCAAATCTTTACTTGGTAAATATGCAAGTGATGATGATATTGATCCAGCACCTCTTGAATGGGGCAAGAAAAATGAGCAAAAGGGTCGTGATCTGTACATGCGAGCAAACAGAAGGAAGCATTTAGGATGCAAAATCACCCAAAAAGGCCTAACTGTTTATCCTTGTACATGTTATATAGGTTGCAGCAGTGATGGTGTTTTCTCCTGTAAATGTAAGAATCCATCTCATGAAAACAAAAATATTGAAATTAAATGTCCTTATTCATTAAGAAATGAAAATCCAAAGACGGCAGGTGTACATAAAGGATGTGAACTTATTGATGGGAAATGGGTGGTAGCAGAGAAAAGTGACTATTTCCATCAGATTCAGGCACAAATGGGTATTCTGGAACTCTCTTCAACTGATTTGGTTATTTACACTCGCAAAGGCATCCATGTTGCTCACTGTGAATTCGACCAAATCTTCTTTGAAAATATGATTCACAAGGTGAAAACTTACTTTGAACAAAACTTGTTAAGTGCTTTGATCTCTGAAATACAAGCTGACGCACTGTAAAGCTCAACCAGGAAAATGAACTCTATATATAGATTGTCTAATCATCCTGGTAATTAAATCTACAAATCAGTGAAAGGGGCATTCCTGCATTCGGACATCAAAAACATGAAAGCTTTAGATTAACTTGAGAGTGAAATTGCAGTAATAATGTAAAGATAATAACTTTTACAACTGTGGAAAAATACTAATTTTCCTTTAAGTTTCATTTTTACAACCTAAAATCATTTCAAACAAAGGAGTGCCTCTTTAACATTTTCCTGACATAACTAAGGACTGCTTTTGTTTTACAGTAATTATCAGCAAGTTAACTGCACATAATGATCACACATGACCACTACTTTACAAGTTGGTTGTCCAAATTACACAGTGCTGCACAAACTAAAATAACATCATCAATTACATTTTTCAGTTTCAGACTTAAGACCCCTTGAAGTAGACTGAAGTTTTTTAAACGTCCTATTGCCCTCTCAACGTGAATTCTCGCATGAGCAATCCTCCTAGTTTTTGTTGTTGCTTTGCTGCAGAGTTGTCTTCCCATGGCAAATGGTGGCATATTTAGTGTAGCACCTCTTAAGGCAAGCTCTCCTCGGATAAGGAAACCCCGATCAGCCATAATGTCATCACCATATTCTATCTTTTCCAGAAAGCCACTTTGCAGAACTATGTTTTTATCTGATATGCTACCTGTAAAAGCCCCAGATACAAAACTGAATGATCCTGTGGGGGTTATTCCCATTAACACTTTTAAGGTATTGTGATGTTTGTATGCAGACCAGGTTATCCGTTGAGAGGAAGGCATACTGGGTTTCTGTATGAAAAACTCTGTGCAATCTATAACACACCTTGTGCGAGTAAACCACTTGAAACACTTTGGCAACTTCCTTCTACACTGTTCCCTAGATGGCCAACACACTAAAAACCTTAGCTCACGGGACATGAGACACATCCATGTAAAAAATATCCGGCTAACAGAACTTGCTGATATACCAAACATCTGTCCCAGTGTGGTGTTGTCATACCCTTTTCTTAGTCGCAGAAGTGCCAAAAGGAATTCCTCCCATAATGATAGAGACCTTGGTCTTCCAACATTTGATACCTTAAATTAGAAATAGAAATTATTAATTGTGTGCTGCAGCTGATTAGTTAGCTGTGTGCATTTATTATTTTTGTTATAAAACCTGTAATTGTAGTCTTAAAAATAATCCTTAATTTCAGTAATACTAATTTCCATTGTAAAAAAATGATCCTTAAAATTTTAATTACATTTGTGGGTAGATGTACACTGTTTTCATTAATTTACCTCAACTTTGTCCTTATTTGTTTCTGCTCCACACCAGTAGGTCATGTTTTTAGCTTTATTTTTTAGCCATCCAAACACCAGTGAGAGCAATGCCATTGACAACCCTGAAAGAGCAATAAACAAAACTCAACATAATCCCAGTAAAAAGTTAATTATGTCTCCCCTTTGAATGAAGGGAGACATATTGTATAAGTACATTTTCTTGTTCTGGTTCTTCAAATAATATTTTGCCCAAGCCCAGTATGTAGTTGCATCACCTAAAGGAGATGTGCGCTGCACTTACAAAAGGTCACTCTGACCTTGACCTTTAGGTCAAAGGTAAAATATATTTTTTTGCTTGGGAAGGAGACGTATGTTTTTCGTCACCAAAACAACAGCATTGGCAAATAGTACTCATAATATGCTGTCATTTGGAATATGAATGCCTTTTCCTACAGGTTATGTACTTATTATTCTCTTCAGAAACATAAAAAAGGATATTTGAATCTTTAATTAATAATGCACTGTGCAACTTTAACTAAAACCAACCTGTGTAAAATTTGCATGAGGAGTCATCTTTAGTTACATTAGTTACTGTCAGGTGTCGACGTATTAGGCCTTCATTTTGAAGCTGCTGATCGTCATAGTTCTTTAAGCAGTTGATAGTAAGATCTGTCTGAGTGCCAAAATTTCTGGTCTCCACACTATCTGTTTGTGTACCTCTCTCTCCTGGACCTCTGGGTTGAATAGTGTAGGCATGGTCACCTGTAGCAAAGGAATACTTATTATGGCGAAGAGACATGATCAAATTGTTGATATTTTACAGAAGATTTCTTAGTTGTTATATACACAACATGTTTGATACAACCAGCAATAACCAAGGAGAAATAATAAAATTGATAGAATTCAGCTGAATAATCATGTGAGTTGTTGTTTCCTATTCTTAAGACTTACTCAAGATACTGAATGAATTGTTGTGGTTTTCCTGCTGCATTATCAGTTTGGTGTCGTCAATTTGGCCTGTAACAAATTCAATATTGATATTCTAAATACCAGGTATTAACTAATCACAACATCAATTAATTAAACATAATAAATGATTATCTACAAGTAGTGATGTTCCTTTTATAGAAATGTACCAAAGTGCTTCACATTATTTAACTCTGAATTGACTTGAAAAGTGTATATTTTACCTCAAAATACATGACTCTGGAGAGGCAAGGTTTGAAGGTTCTTTAAGTTAATGATAATGAACTGTGTAATATGTAGCTATGTGTGGATTTTATTCCCAGTTACAATTCATAAAACTGATGTCTCACATGTAGTCCTATAATATATGACTTCACAATTCTGTCTTGATATTAAACATTCGGCAGTAAATGGTAAATGTCAAAAATCTGAAAATAAAGGTTAAATATTATGACAGGATTGTTAAGTCATATATTATAGGACTAGTAATATTTGTCCAGTATACCTGTATATGTTTGCTTAGATTATTTTAGCCACACTAGCAGAATTTTGGAGCAACCTCCCCCCCCCCCCAACCCAAAAAAAAATGTCAGAACCCTTCGGCTTCGGACTGTATTCTACCTTACATGTGTATTGTTATGGATTTGAACGCTAATACTTACATTTCTTTATCACTGATGCTGGCAATGATCTGGACCTGGGGTATGGTCGAGCTCTTCTCTGTGCTCGTTTTATATCAATGGCCGTACCAGATGCCGGCAAAGGATTGGGATGGTCAATGGTAGGACCGTTTCCTCCAAAGAAATGCTTGCTGCATATGTAAGTGTGTTTGTTTACATTGGTAACCCCCCAGTTTTTACGCCCGCACAAGGAAACCCACAATCTACATTTTTCATGCTGTGTTTTAGGCTTGGGAAACGGTATGAAGAACACGTCCTGCATATGATCTGCATTTCTGTAGCGGTCGTCACTCCGACAATCACCCCAACAGCAGTGTTTCACCATGTTTACATTGGAATGTCAGACCCAACCGGAAGTGCAGTTTTGTCGGGTGTTCCCTGCTTTGCTTAGACGTTTCAGCGATAGACTAAACAACACGTTTCTTCTCAGCTCCATGTTTATTTTTATTTTCAGAACGAGGCTGTCATATAACCAATACAGGAGAGGATCTAAGAGAGATAACTCTTACGAGATTACAACTACTATAGATCATTACAACTCCCCTTTTGAAAATAGGTATTTTATCTTTAAAAGTTCAATTGTCATTGGAGGGAGCATATGATATATATGTAACTTGTATTTTGTGGTTAATTGGCCATACTGAAACAAAATAGCTCGAAATTAAACTGCATGTTGATACATGTCTGAAACTTAATATTTCTTTGTTGTTTATAATATTGTCACAGTTTCTAAGTAATAGTGTATATCCAACCCTCTTGATTGAGAATTATATATGGAACACAAGCAACAAATAAAATGTGATAATTTTGCAATTATGAGTTACCAAATTCACCAGAAGATAATGGACCAAAAATAGTTTTGATTTTGAACTCTTTACTGATGAATTTTATCAAGCATAACTACCAGGATCAGGATAGACTGTCCTGCCTGAGACCTAACATTAAAAGGGGATTATTCTGCCCCTGTGCACTTCACATCTCATAATCTTTGAATCGTGCTGGCAGTTTCACACTTCTGCCGTATTTTGTCTTCATACTCAGAGAGTTTCCGGTGGGCATTGCTAGTGCTGTCGCCTTATGCGTTGGCGTGTCACTAGGTTTCGTAGTTGATTCTTGCTCCATGAAATCAGGAATGTCCTCTGTGTTTCTCCTGAATGTTTCCTCTCGTGACTGAATGATGTCTCGACGATTTCGACGAAACTTCTCACCATCAGGTGTCACTACTGTGTAGGACCTCGGGTATTCAGAGTGATTATAAATGTTTCCTGGAGTCCATTGTCCTCTGTGTTTAAAACGAATCTTATCTCCGTCATTTAATTCCGAAAGGCGTTTGGCTCCAATATCGAAATATTTTTTCTGCTTTTGCTGCGATTTCTGTCTGGTTTTCTGAATGTGTTCTGAAGACACTACACATGGTTGAAGTTTAAGTTGGGTAACTGGTAGCACAGATCTAAGCTCTCTGCTCATGAGTAGTTGTGCTGGTGATTCTGTATCCGTAGGCGAGTTCCTGTACTCGAGTAGAGCAAGATACGGATCTTGCCCGTTAGCGTTGGTTTTCTCAAGGATGCGTTTCATGGTTTGTACAGATTTCTCTGCTAAGCCGTTCGCTTGAGCAAAATAGGGACTTGATGTTGTGTGTTTAAACTTCCACTTTGTCGCAAATGTTTTGAATTCGGATGAGGAATATTGTGGACCATTGTCGCTCCTCACTTCAAACGGTATTCCATGTCGTGCAAAGATAGATTTCAGGTGTGTTATTACTGTTACACTTTTAGTGTTCTCCAACTTTGCTACCTCAAAGTATCGGGAATAGTAATCAGTGACTATCAGGAAGTCTGACTGGTTCCATGAGAATAAGTCGGTTCCCACAACTTGCCACGGTCCACTTGGCACAGGTGTTGGCTTCAAAGGTTCTTTCTGATTGTTGTTCCTCATATCCATACAGGTAATACACCTTGATATCATGTCAGCAATATCAGTGTTCATGCCATGCCAATAAACAATACTTCTGGCTCTGAGTTTGGTTTTTTCTATACCAAAGTGACCTACATGAAGATCTGACAGTATTTCATCTTGGAGACTTTCCGGAATTACTATCCTTTCTCCTTTGAGCACTATGCCTTCGTTGATAGTTAGTTCATTTCTAAGTTTCCAAAACTCTTGTAGGTTTTTTGTTAGAACATTTTTATTTTCTGGCCAGCCATTCTCTATCAATGCCTTAACTTGACTGAGTTGTTCATCCTCGTCTGTTCGAGTGCGAATTTGATCCATTTTATTGACAGAGACAGGTAGACTGTTCAAAACAGTGTGTACATGACAACTGAGTTCTTCATCCATGTTCCCATCCTTGTTGGGAAGATATGCACGAGAAAGTGTGTCCGCTACTACTAATTCCTTGCCTGGCCTGTAGATTAGAGTGAAATCATAGCGTTGTAGACGTAGAAGCATTCTCTGTAACCTAGGTGGCGCTTGAGATAGGGGTTTCTTTAGTATGGCTTCCAACGGCTTGTGATCACTTTCTACAGTTAGTGCCTGCGATCCACAGGTGTAGTTGTTGAAGCGTTCTAAAGCAAAGGTAACTGCAAGAAGTTCCTTCTCTATTTGTGCATATCTTGACTCTGTGTCAGTCATTGCTCTAGAGGCAAATGCTATGGGCTTATTCCTCTGTAGAATTACAGCACCTAATCCGTATTTTGATGCATCTGCACTTACGGTGGTTGGTAATCTTGGGTCATAAAATGCTAGTACTGGCTCTTTTGACAATATGCCTAGTATTTGCTTGAAAGCGTCATCCTGACTTTTGTTCCACTGAAATGCGACATCCTTTCTGAGCAACTCTCGAATCGGCTGTGTGATGGTTGACATGTTTGGTATGAACTTGGCTAAGTAATTGACAGTTCCAAGTAGTCTCTCTACTCCTTTTTTGTCAACTGGTCGGGGCATCTCAGTAATTGCACTCAGTTTTTCTGGATCTGGTTTTACACCAGCGGCAGACAGTCTGTGACCTATATATGTGACCTCATTTTCGCTGAACCTGCATTTGTCCTTGTTCAAGGTGAGATTTATCTGTTCGCACCTCCGCAACACACGATCGAGACGAGCATCGTGCTCCGCGTTATCCTTTCCGAACACAAGTATGTCGTCTATGTCCACTTCGACACCTTCAATGTCATCAAAATGTTGTGCTATACGCTTCTGAAAAACTTCTTGCGCACTCTTTATGCCAAACGGCATGCGTAGGTAACAGTACCTGCCGAAAGGTGTATTAAAGGTTGTCAAGAGTTGGCTAGGCTCATCTAGAGGGATTTGCCAATAACCACTGTTGGCATCGAGCTTAGTAAAGATTTTAGCACCTGACATTCGCGTTGTGATATCTTCAATTGTTGGTAACTCAAAATGTTCACGCTTTATGGCCTTGTTCAAATTCCTCGGGTCGAGGCACACTCTTAACTTGCCTGACTTGGGCTTTTCCACTAGCACTATGGAGCTGACCCAGTCAGTGGGTTCATCAACCTTTCTCACGACACCATTTTTCTCCATTTCGTTGAGTGTGATTTTTAATTTGTCGCGTAGATTTGCAGGGATTTTACGTGGTGGGTTTACAACCGGTGTTACACTTTTGTCAACTTTGATGGTGTATGGCTCCTTAAGGCAACCTAATCCTTTAAATATTTCCAGAAACTTGCTAGTAGGGTCCTGTTTATCCACTGACGGCTCAGTAACCTTTTCAGTCATCATGACCACTTTTACTAGCCCAAGGTCTTGACATGATTTGAATCCAAGTAATGGGACTGTGTCTTCCCTTGCGACGTAGAATTCAACGTTTTCATTTAGGCATTGGAGCCTACACTTCCCCTTTATGGGTATTTTGTTGCCAGTGTAGCTCGATAGTCGCGTTGCCGTGTCCGATAATTTGGTTTTTGGTTCTACATTTAGACAGTTGAACAACTTGTCCGATATAATGTTGGCCTGGGAGCCCGTGTCTAATTTGAACCTGACATTTGTTCCATTGATGTTGAGATTTGCGAAAGCTTCATTAGTTCCAACCTCTGTTTTGTGATTATGTACTGCACCAATGAACAAGTCTTCGAATCCTTCCATGTCCACTGCCTCATTCGCGTGTACCACTTTAGTTTTACACTGTCGAGCGAAATGATTCATTCCCTTACATTTATCACATATTTGACCAAATGCTGGACATTTCCGATATCCGTGTTTAGTGCCACAACGTCCACACTGAAATAGTTTTTGTTTTACATGTTGTTTGCTGTGGTTGGAGTTGTCTCCCCTGACTGACTGTTTCTTGTTACCTCCCCTTGCACTATGTGTTGGTCTATTTGTATAACGTTCCTTGGGGGGTCTGTTTTGTTTATCACGATGATTTTTGTGTACCGCGTTGACTTTTTCTGTGTTTAGATTTTTTAACATTTGTTGTGACTCCTCACTGGCTCTGCAAGCAGTTACGGCCCTTTCAAGTGTGAGTTGATTGTCTCTCAAAAGTCGTTCTTTTACCTTTTCTGAAAATACACCACAGACAATACGATCGCGTAACATTTCATCTTCCAGTGTACCAAATTTACAGTTTTTTTGCAATAATGCGTAGTTCGGTCACATATTCATCAATAGTTTCTGTTTTACCTTGTGTACGTGTGTAGAATCTGTGTCGCCACACAGTTATGTTTTCCCTCAGGGCACAGTAAGATTTAAATTTGTTTATTAAAACTTCAATTTTGTCTTTTTCTTCCTCTGTGAATGTGAAAGTGTTGTAAATTTCCCTTCCGTCTTGTCCTATTATGTATAGGAATGCACTACATTTTTCCTTTTCAGATTTATCTGACATCGCTATATCTAAATATAGTCGCATGGATTGTTCCCATTTTCTCCATTTTTCTGGGAGATTTCCCTCAGACGCCGAAAAGTCTAATTCTGGGGGTGGGCGGATATGTTCCATTATGTTGGATTGGGCTGATAATGTCTATTTGCCTGTATTTCGGTATTTTACCGGTCTGGGTAGAGGGTTTTGGTTTCTGGCGGGTAGCACGTGTTTTATACAGCGCACACTAGATGTCATCGATTCGACAGTTATTGACGAGTTAAACGATATGACATACAATATTCATTCCGCCGATATCTGGTTGGATATGTTGCCTTACCAAATACCCATATTTCCATCAGTATCCCACTCAATAGATAACAGTGAAGACTTGCAGTAAACAATCACAGTGAATGACACCCACTGGACTAACTAACAGCCACATGTATACATACAAAGACTACCCATGCCAAAGGCAGGGGAGGGGGGTGGGGTGTTCTCTTTGGGCCTTTATGTTTACTTTTG